TGCGATTTTGATGCATTTTCGGCCTTAAAATGGCCGCTATTCGGCTATCGTTAATCGGATCATGAAAAAAATGCAAGTGCATATGTCCCATATAATGTGTGATGTATGAGTGAAGTTTGAACTTAATCGGTCCATGCATGTTCGAGATACAGGTGATCACGGACGGACGCACACAGGGCAAAACATAAGTCCCTGTTTTCGGACTGCGTCCGAACGGGGACTAATAATAAATACAGACTATAATCAATATAACAAAGACAAATAAGTGAGCTTATTCACTCAAGTTTTTAACATGTAATTGACAGGAATGACAGTCTTTCTTGATGGTGTTAGTGGAACAGTCAGGCCCATATACCTATGATGTACAATAATCTTCAGAATAATATTTCTGATGTTCTGTCAGATCTATTATGTTAATATCACCAATGCCAGACACTAACACTGTAAACTATATTCGTTTACCACAGTTGATAAAAATGAATGATTCTTGTGGGATGTTATAACTGGCCAAAAAAAAGGGTTTGCTTCTTGTTATCACACAACCACCAGTTTGAAACCCATGCCTCACACATTTTTTCAATCAATTTTCCATATTGGTGAAGTGCAGCACATATGGTAGAATCTGGAAATGTTTATTTTCGGTTTTAGAAAATGTTTCGTGAATCTAAATCATCTTATAATGTATGAGTGTTCAATAATTGTTATTGAAATATTGATAATCTTAATGCAAAACAAAATTAAAAATTGCATCATTTTCACTGGGACGAGAAGCAACACCTTTTTTTATGGCTTAAAAACAAAAAATAAAATAAAACATAACAAATATAAACAAGGTGTAAAAGTTTCAAAACAAAGTAGATAAAAAATACTCCTATGTGCTGAGGTAGTGAAGGCAAAGATTGAATGTAACCAATTGAATTCAGCCTACTGCCAAACCATTGCAGAATACACCAGTTCTCGTCCGATCACTGATGTTAAGCTACATTGGGCGTGGTTAGTACTTGCATGGGAGACCGGCTGGGAATACCACGTGCAGTAGACTCATCAACATTTTTATTCCACCGTACATACTAACTTTTTCCCAGGATTTTTTGTCTCGCCGAAGCATTAAATGACATTCAATTCCGACGAATATTCAACCTACTGCCAAACCATTGCAGAATACACCAGTTCTCATCCGATCACTGATGTTAAACTGCATCGGAAGCATTAAATGACATCCAATTCCGACGAATATTCAGCCTACTGCCAAACCATTGCAGAATACACCAGTTCTCGTTCGATCACTGAAGGTAAGCTGCATCGGGCGTGATTAGTACTTGCATGGGACACTGGCTGAATACCGCGTGCAGTAGGCTCATCAACATTTTTATTCCACCGTACATACTAACTTTTTCCCGGGATTTTCTGAACACATGTATAATGAATATATAAAATTTGAACATAGTCAGTCAAAGCATGTCAGAGATATGGCTCTAGAAGCCTATTCATTAAAACAAAATGGCCACTAGTCAGCCATTCTGAATCGAATCTAAAAAATAAAATAACGTGCATCAGGAACCCGTAATGTCTACTGTATGTACCAAGTTTGAACAAAATCCAATCGAAATGCCAGAAATGCTTGATATTCACTGACTGCCCACCATTTGACCATTTTTAATAGGATCGTCAAACCAATATATCTGTATATCTATGACATGATGTATAATGAATATTTATAATTTGAACATAATCAGTCACAGCAAGTCAGAGATATGACACTAGAACCACATTCATTAAAACAAAATGGCTGCCAGTTGGCCATTTTGAATCTTATCTGAAAAACAAAATGATGTGCATCAAGGTCCTATAATGTCCAACGTATATACCAAGTTTAAACAAAATCCATCTGTAAACAGCTGAGAAATGCTTGATTTTGATGATTTTTAGAACAAAAATGGCTGCCATTCGGCCATCTTGAATCAGATCGTGAAACAAATTGATGTGTATATGTATAATATCATGTATGATGTATGTGTGAAGTTTGATTGTGATTGGTCCAGGCATTTCTAAGATACAGGTTCGGACGCACAGATGCACGCACGCATGGACGCACAGAGGTCAAAGCATAAGTCCATGTTTTCAGACTGCGTCCAAACGGGGACTAAAAATAAATTAATTACAAATTAAGAGAACTGAAATTCTGCACTGAATCACATTCACTCTACTAGGACTGTGACTGAATTGTAAGGAATGTTGGGACTAAGTTGATAGGTCATAGGTCCGTATACATAAGTTAATGACATCATTTCAGTTACTGGTAAGTGAAACTTATTGGTTGTTGAGATGCAGCAGAGAATTTAAAAACGTTCCTAAATTATGCAAATTATTTATTGTGCATACATTGCCACAAAAATAATCAGTTTTATAAACCACTATGTAAAAATACATTTACCTCTGAGTCTATAATTAATGTCATCAAAGAGTGCATCAAAATATATACCTGGAAGAAAACTAGAAATTGGCTTGTTGGCAAATTTAGTAATTATAACATGCAAATCTGCTAGTTGTCATGCAAATTTAGTTATTGATAAACACAGCTCTGTTGATTATCAGCCAAAAAATCGTATAGCACTTTCATGGAAAAATCATTAGTTCTTTAATGTACTCTGACATATACTCATAACATTTTTAAATTAGGTAAATAACAAACTGAAATGTTCCAAAAACTGAACTGGTCATTCAAAAGCACCCATATATCAAATTTCATGATAAGTTTTTTTTGAAAACATATCTATAAAAATTTTAACTTTGCTAATTATTGTGCAAAATAGATAAATAAAAAATACAAATTTGAAAATTACTCCAGACATTTATTGTTCAATGAAATCTGTCTTTAGATACCAGTGGAATAAACTCACACACAGACAGTGCAAACACAAGGACTACCTTCAGCACATAGGAGTAAAAAATAATAACAAGCACAATTAAAAAAGAAAGGTTTTCATGCAAGCCACAGGTGCATGTCATTACATCAATACACAAGACAACTCCATCATAACATCAGCATGTAGGTCAGCGCCATCTTACAACAATGTACAGGATTTGTCCGGCTGGAAAGTAAAGAGAATGACAAATATTTATGCAAGTCCAATGTTTATGTAACAATATTTATGTACCTAAATATGTGTCTAGATCATAAATGTCTTTAAGCAGCATAATTCTGATTTCTCGTACGCACAACATTTCACCACTACCTTCATATATATTTATACCATATATTCTTTCTCCCCCAAGATTTAGCTTCCAAATAGTTTTAAATGTATTACATGTATTTTGTTTGTGCATATTTTTTTTATTTAGTTTATTTATTTATCTATTTAGCCAGTATTTATCAAATTGAAGATGTATTTCCTGTCAACAGGCCCTGGACCCAATTACAGATGCAGAGTTAATATTTATTAACCAAGCACATTGTATTGTCCGCTGTAACTACCATATCCAAACAGCTTCTGTTGCCCTAAGTGTCAGTTATAGTAGTTGTAGTTTTCATCTATAACACCATTACTTCATGTAGCTTACAGCTACAATACAACCTACAACTTTTGCTGTTCTCTCATTCTAATATGCTAACGTTTCAAATAGGGGAGGGGGGCTCTCTGTGAGAATGGTCGAGGGTAGTCTGGTAAAACACATTCTTAGACAGATTTTACCTATCCTATATTCAGTCTGTTATGTATGCCCCAGCAACGTTCCCCCTCCTAATTTTGCCAAATAAATACCTTTTAACTTGTTGTGTTCTAAATTATTGTAAAATATGTATGTTGAAGTTGAACTTAAAGATGCTAAATACTGTATATGGTGCACAATACACACACTGTAAATGAATACCTTAGTGGCAAGTTCTATTTGTAGTAATTTATTCAAACCAGACTGTGTTATACTATACGGTTCCTATCAAATCACTTGATACATGTACTTACTTCTTCACGTCTCCTCTGTTGTCTTGCTTGGTGTTGCTGTTGCTGATGCTGTTGTTGTTGCTGCTGTTGTTGCTGATTTTCTAATTGTTGTTGGATCTGAGCAGCTCGTAGATTTTCTTCTTCCTGTAGCTGCAATGCCAAGTCATGGCTAAAAACAAATATGAAAGTATAGTCAATATGCATTCTCAGAAAGAGCAGAATAAAGAGACACATTGTAACTATTACAAGCTTGTTTGTTCTTTAATTAATATCTAGGATATTGAATAAAGAGTAAAAATTTAGGATGGATCCAAACTAATGATGCACTAATAATCCTTGCTGAGAAGAATTAAGAATACCTGATAGAACATTATAAGATAAACTTGTGCAGCAATATATCTAAGCAAAATTTGTCAATAAAAATACTGGCTAACTTTTTGATGGAAAAAATACTTCTCAATTTCTGTTGGTAAAATAATTTATATCACATAATCAAAATGATATCAGGTTACTACACAATCTACCATAACAATTTTGCCTACTTTAGAAATTCAACCTAATTATTTAGCAGATTTTCGATCTATCATATAATTCTGCCTTTTTAGTTCTCATATTTTTTTTCTTGGACGAATAGTTTAACTATAATTAATGAAAACAAAAACTGTTGTAAAAATGCTGAAATCTGCCATATTTTCTAGAACACGAGTTGACCTACCATGGTGAACTTTGACCTGATAGGTCATAATTGCCATTAACCAATCAGAACACCAAAGGTACTTCCGACCTGAATAAGGATGGTAGCAAAAATGGTATCCCGGAAGTTAATTTATTATTAAAGTCACACTAATCTGTTGGCATCGACTTTTGCTGCATGAAGTAATTAAAGAGGCGATTTAAACTTTGGTTTTTGAGAACAAATGATGCCCATACATGCTATCTAATGATTTTGTAATCATTGATTTTTACTCAAAATTTTAACATGATTTGGTATTTCAAAAAACATTTTTCAAAACCTATTTACTAAAACGGGGGTCAAAATATTTACTTTAATTTAAAGTATTTGAAAAAATATTTCAATAACAGCTCAGTTGTTCAGCATAAGCAGTATAAATGTCTTCATTCTGTGTACTTACTTCTATGTCTAACAAATGTTTTTAATTTAGACAAATTTTATTTAACCGTTATTTTGAAAATAATACATGCTAGTCACACCAAAATTTAGTTGACATTTCATTGTGATTGGTGTAATTTCTGGGTTTGAATTATTGTAAGTTATTGTAACCACAAGAAGACAATTTTAGGTGAAATTTCACAAACATCTTCACAAAAGGTTGATTAAATACAAAAGTTTGAGAAATATCGGATAAAAAACATTTTTGAATTATGGTAAACCACAAGTCATTTTCCCTTTATATACTATATATGGGCAAGGTGAAACCTTTGAGAGATGTTACAATAAATTAGATGTTTTATAAACATTCAATTGAAAGGATTTTAGTTGATACCGTGCTCAACCGTGTTAACACAAACGCCCATCCCCACTTTTGCGCAATTTTAATATTCAGGGTCACATTATTTATTATTATTATTATTATTATTATTATTATTATTATTATTATTATTATTATTATAAGATTACTAGAATTGTTATTATTATTGGTGAAATAAAATCATAAATCACATTCAGCAAAGCACCCACCCCTTTAAAATGCCACTAATTTAAAACTTGGTCTTTGATCATTGCTTAAAGGGGAACTAAATAGAGCCTAATTTGGTGTTTTTTTTTATTTATCAAGTTATGTATATTGATTATAAATTAAAAAAAAAAAAAATGATGATTTAAATATGAGAAACCATAAGCATGCGAAGGACTTCCATTTGCGCCATCTTGCCATAAAAAACGACCTCATGAGGTATAAATAGGAAAGGTAACAAAATCACAAAAAAAAAAAAAATGTTTATCTTCAAAGTTATGATGATTTAAATATGAGAAACCATAAACCTGCGAACCTCCGTTTGCGCCATCTTGCCATAAAAAAACGCCCTCATGTATAAACAGGAAAGGTAACAAAGCATGATGACGAAATAGTATCTGAGTAAATATAAGCAACTTAGGGAGCCATAGTTGGTTGTACTGGTGAATTGACTTCTAGTCTAGGTTGTTTTGACTTTTACGTTAATGTTATTTACAAGCATATCAACATGCAAACATTATGGATGTGCGATTGATCGAGACAGCCAACTAACTGTCTAATAAATGCTGTTTCCAGTACTGCACTGTGCGTGCAAATTATTTCAAAGTCTGGATGCTGGAGTATGCAATCTTGAGTTCGTAGGGTGGTGGGGGAAACATTTTCGTCCATGTATTCACGGGGCTGCTCTGGCAAATCATGGGACAATTGTCACAGGAACACCAAGCAGATTGTTCACAGACCGTGTAATTTGAAATAAAACTACAATCCGAACAAGGGGATCGTCGACGTCAGATAGACTCTCATCTCACACTGGACTGATCTGAATCTTCACACTATACCGTACTTCCCTGATCATGGGCATGAACATGTAAGGGAAAAGTAAGGGATGAGCTTATACTCGAGGACTAACTCAGAAAAGATGATTTTGTTTTCGAGTTAAACACTGTAACCATCTTTTCAACAACGAAAAATTATTAAAAAAAATTATTCATTCACCATGCCAGGCCCAGGAAAATAATACTTCTGCATCATTGATTTCCATGACACTTACAATGAAGAAACAAAAATGTTCATAACAAACACACATTTTATTCCAATACCATTTACATACCGTCTCAATTTACGGTGAAATAATGGGTAGGGTCTGCGGGGAACAGTCCAAGGCATTTATTTTAACGCAATGCAGAAGTGAATTACTGCAATGTTAAAATGCGATCTGTAGCACTGATTGCAACAAGAAGAACGATGACTTTTTTCAATAACAACAGACGATTCACAATTTCCAAAAAAGTAAACGACGGTTAATAGTAACCATGGGTAAACTGAGTGTGAAGGAAGAATTTAAACACCTTTCTCGGTCGCCAACATGTCACATCGTTCAAACCCTAGGCCTTTCATGATAGTCTCAAAGTAAACCATGCCCAATAACCAAGTACATGTCTTAACGATCACATTTTTGGCTTTTCGAAAGCTACTACTCAAAGAAATATGGATTACTTCAAACAGCGTCCGGATAACTTTCGGAAATTCCGTCGCGTTTCGGAAAGATTTAATTTTCACAACTTTTGAATATTTATTCATACTTTTAGGCTAGTGAGGAGGTTATAATAATTTTTCATTTCACTTTAACTCTGTTTTTTTCACCCCTCAGACCCCTTTGAAAAGTCACTTCTGGCCATTGTAATGGCCACTTTTTTTTTTAATGGCCAGAATACCAACCAGAAATTTTTTAATGGTCAAAATATTGGCCAGTATTTTCAAACTGGTAGTTATAATGACCACTATTTTTACACTGGTCAGAATAATAGTAATTTTTTATTTAATGATGGAGTGGGTGACAATCTATTTTTTTAATGGGTATTATAATGATCATTTTATTTTTCA